TTGCCCGCGCACCATTCTGGGCCTAGCCCAACAACGCGTCGCACTTATGTGTGGTCCAGGCCCGGGGGCTCCTGTCGATGAACAAAGGTAGGGGCTCTTGTACCCCTTCACTTGTGCACGGGCAGTTAGAGCCGTGCCCACGGCCGCACTTAGCAGGGCAGAAGAGGAAAGGCAATGCCACAAGACAAGCAAGGCAACACCAAGACCAGAGACACGAGGAGCGGAGAGGCACCTCCATGATGGCATGCAGATCTTCGTGAAGATCATAAACATGCAAGATCAGATAAGGACCAGAAGACGACGATTCTCGACAAGATCCTTGCCAAGGAAACCCACAAGACCTCCGGCAAGATCCTTGCCAGGGACGACCACAATGTCGCGGCAAGACCCTTGCCGGGGCCTCGACAAGACCCTGGCCGAGGACATCAATGGGGCCGTGGCCGGGCCTGCGCCCGCCAAGGCTCCACCGCCGTTCTCATGCAGCTGCCAGCCCAGCCAGCCAGGCGAGCACTTGCATGGCGACGTGCGGTTCCGAGACCAACTCAGCAAGCACCTGCGTGGTGGCATGCAGATCTTTGTGAAGACCATAACACCGCACCAGTTCAGCAGCCTGCCAGCCTACATGGCGCCGCACGCCGCGCTGGCCTGGACGCGCGTCAAAGCGAGGCGAGGCGGTGACAGCAAGAAGGGCACATCGGCAGCGCATTAAATGCGTTTGTCTGACGCTGCCAGAGGATAGACACAGGCACCACATGCACTTTCCTCCTCATGTTTGCCACTGTGGCATCCCCTTTTTCCTATAGAAGGAGGGCCGAGGCATACTGGAGGGGGATTCAGCTTTTTGGACTACAGACGCACCGAAGCTAGTTCAAGAACACAAGAACATTCAGATATACACCAAAGTAGGACTAGGGTATTACGCGATCCTCGCGGCCCGAACCTGGGTAAACGATCCTTGTGCTGGCTCCTAGACCCGCTCTTTCCACAACCTCGCGCCCGCCAACCATAGTAGGGATTTCAGTGATCCCATAGGTGCCGTTTCCGCACCACAAATTGGAAGAAAGAAAATGACATAGAGGTTTATAAATTATATTAGGTACTTCACTTTCTAGACCAAACATTGGATGCGTTCATTTTGTATTGTGACAATGATATTCACTCTAGATCGATCTTTACTGTTGGGTTGCTGGCCATCTGTCACCTGAGACAAATAATGAAAGAAACAGTAAGTAAGGAAATATAAAATTTAATAAATGGTATTTATTATATAATAGTCACATCATAAAAATTAAGGAAATGCATACTACAGTATTTATGTATGATGATAAAGAAGGAAATAAGAAAGATAATGAGTACTAGTATAATAGGCACCTCATACAAATAAGGAAGGCATTAATATGCAATTAATGAATCAAGGTAAATTTGGAAATAAAAGGGTAATTTATGAATTCTATTATATAATATTGTTCTCCTTCCAATCAAACTCGCCATCACCTCGCATGGATGACCTGTCTGACGGCACAATCCCTCGTAGTACTGTCCTGGCTTCTCGCGACGGACAACACTGCATGATCAAAGTTATTGCCTAGAGGTGGGAGTGACTATGACTACTTAAATAACTAGATGACCCATTGTGCCATTGGTGTAGAGACCAACTGCATTCCAGAAGTTAAGAAACTATTTGAGACATAAAATGGAAGTTAGGTGAACTATTTGAAAAGACATGTATGCAACCAGACACCCTCTAGTGGTATCACGCGGTACGGCTTTAGTTCGGCAAACTATCATATAGGTTAACGTTGTGTTCAGAGCAGACCCGACCGTACCATTACTCTGCTTCGTGGTTGTAGTTGGTCTTTACGCCAATGTGAATAAGGGTGCATTATTTAAATGTGGATGCACACTGGCACATGATAAACACGCACTGATTTCTAGAATGCAGAATAACAAGTTTTTCAGTTGACGTGACACCATCATCATGCCTTGCGATCTTGTCACTGCCTCTATACTAAAATACCGGGTCAGATCCATCAACCGTAAGCAGCTAAGCCTTCCGTGGGGGTACCAAAATGGCAAACCTTTGGTTATAATGTAGTTTGGTAGGCAACTATAGGAAGGGATGGAGAAATGACATGCCAGTTCAGGCTAAGTCAAGGCTCGCTTGATTCGGTGCTTATCGAGGCATTCTCTCCCATGGAACAAAACAACGATGAATAAACCATGCATGGTTGAATGCTCTGAAGCACAACAGCCATGCACGGATGCATCCATGAGCCGGACTCACAATGTAGTTAGTCCGACCGATCTTGCAAGCGTTCCACGAGAACTGGAAAAGGAACATGTATCGAATTGAGTTGCAGGACAAACGAATACGAACCAAAACTAAAGGCAGTGTCACACCAAGTCATGGAGCAGCACGAACCGGTGGTCCTGGCGCCAGTTTTGGATCATGTCAAGGATCAATATGAGCACCCTCGCCCGAGGACGGCCATGGCCATGATGTCAGGTGAAAACTTGAGACTGAAGTCGGATCTAACCTTGGGGCCGCTTCGCCTGGCCCTGACTTTGGATCCTACGCAGGAGGTTGGCACAAAATCTGTTCCAAGGTAGATGTTAGATCCGATCTTGAACCCACTCTCCCTATTTCCGATGTCACACTAGGATTAGGCAGAACATGAAAAGCTCGTTCTGGACTACCTATTAGATCGGTTCCAGAAGCTTGCGACATTGGAGAACCCGATCTCGGTGTATGATTGGACCTGGGAGTCCCAAGGAAAAGTTGATTTTTTTACCCACCCACCCCCATCTTGTTGCAAACATCGAAGACCTAACCGACATCTTCTAAGGCACCATGGATGAGACCAATGACATGGATGAGGAGGTCGGCAAGTCTACGAACATCCGCCAACAGCCACCGCTCCCTTGGACAATTGGATGGTGACCTCGACCTATGGAGTCTACATGGTTGACACACCACGTGCCAACGACAACGGTGGAACCAACAATAGCGACAATACTGTATGATGGCTCCAACGGCAACGACAACACCATGAATAGTGGCGGCGACAACCTTGACGGTCCTCCAAGCGGCGAGGTAGACGACTGTGAAAGCAACCTCTGCCCCAAAGACGAGCATATATTAAATGAGTCACTTAGTAGCCCGCGCCACGACGTGTTAAGGTGAAGGCTAGTCACGGAGGTGCTCATGTGGGTAGGGTGTGAGTGTGTGCATTCATAGCGGTGGGTGGATGTGCATATGTATGAGCAATAGTGTGTATGAGTGTCTGTGTCTGTACTACATTAACACCCCCCTTCTTAAGTCACTAATTTCTTCTTCATCCATAAGTGAACCAGAAAGCCCTTCTGCGCATAATTAAAATAAATTAGGAGACAATGGATCCCCTTGTTTCGAACCCCTAGTAGGTTGGAAGTTATCTGTCTCCTGAGAATTATAGATGATACTCCCTCTGTTCTTAAATATAAGTCTTTGTAGAGATTCCAATGCAGACTACATACGGAGCAAAATGAGTGAATCTACACTCTAAAAAATGTCTATATACGTCCATATGTAGTCCTTATTAAAATTTGTAAAAAAAATTATATTTAGGAACGGAGGGAGTAGTATATTGTACCGACGAGATACAAGTCATCATAAAAAAATCAAGTCTCCTGGAATCCCAACCTTAACATAATATTCCTCAAGAAAACATACTCAACTCTGTCGTATGCCTTGCACATATCCAGCTTGTCCACACATAAATCTTTCTTCCCATTTCTCTTATTTTTTATCCCGTGGATGCACTCGTAGGCAATAAGCACATTGTTTGTTATAAGTCTCTAGGGATAAAGGCACATTCGGTTGGTGAAATAATCTCTAGTAAAATTATATTTAGATTTTTGGCAAGCTTCTTTGGAATTAAGACTAACGTGGTGTCATTCCACCCTTCCGTTATCTGTCTCGAGTTTATCGCCTCCGGGACTTCCTAGTATTTTTTTTGTAGAAAATTGCATGCAAACCGTTGGGGCCATGGGCACTGATATCACCGATACTGAATATAGAGTGCTTCACTTCATCCTCCACAAAGGAAGCAGTTGTTCATTTATTTATTTAGAAACTCTCGGCATAATGTTTCAAGAAAGCCAAGCTCTGTATTATTAACTTCGGAAGAGAAAGGGTGAGAATTTTTTTTTCGATCATCGGGTTTAACATGTTCGTACCTACCTGCCACTCCCCTTGGTCATCCTTAAGTCATTTCATCAGGTTACATTCTTTCCGGCCATGGCAAAGTGTTGGATTTTTTTTTAATTGCCGTCGTCATTACATAACCAGTCCACCCTAGCTCGTTGGAGCCAATGCAGTTCCAGCAGGTGTTCAGTCAAGTCTGCTAGCTTGTTCCTTTCTTTTCATGTCACATTCATCATTAGTCATAGGCCCTTTCGTCACACGTGCAATCTCTTTCTCTGCCTGTTTAAGCTTCTTTTTCTGGGTTTTAACTACCCGTCAATCCTAGTTATGAAAGCTCTAATGCATCATACGAAGCTTCCCCAGTATGGCATTCCCCTGCACATTCAAAAACGATTCATCCCATGCTTGCATGACCACTAGTTGCACTACCGAATTTTCCCAAGATAATTTTCACCAGTAGCTAATCTAGAACTTCGGAAACAAAACAGAAAACTACATGTAACACTACTCTCAACAGTCATATATTGATTTGTTGCTTTATGTTTAAGCACCATACATAGGTTTTTACACCCAGACAAGTTTACTCAACAACGAGATAATATCTGCATGGTAATGACCACACAATTTGACAATTTGAACCACATAACATGGAAGAAGATGCTTCAAAGTTGAAAGATATAAAGAGGAGCAGGAGCAAGCAGGCACTTCATTTCTCTCAACAGCTTATTAATGCAGACTACCTTCATGGAGATTCTGGCCAGTCAAAACCAGCGAAGCCTTCACCGAATACACCACCATAGAACCTAACTTCTAGTCACTCAAGAGCGTGATCGTCGTCCCATATGGCCTCGTCATCACCCCCGAGGGCGAAGTACTCATTGTCCACGAACTCTTCCCATGAGTCGATGGAGTCATCATCCGAGCACTCATCCCAGAAGTTGTTCTCATAGAAGTCGTCCACGTGGGGGCCGAGGATTTTCAGCCCAGGATACTTCTCTTGCAAAATCTTATCACCAACATCCCAACAGCCACGCAGATCTAAGAATTTGAGGTCTTCGCACCGGGAGGTGATCTCGAGGACAGCCGTTGTCTCGATAAGCATGTACCCTATCTCGAGGTGGCAGAGCTTTGGCATGTTGTAGGCAATAGCACGGGCCTCGTCATTATGGCACCCCTTCCCTGCGACATCCATTGGGTGCATGACTCGGCGAAGTCTGATGAGGGATTTGCAATTCTTACCGAATGCCTCCAGAGCACGAGCGCCAATCTTAGTGCAGCTGCTTACATCCAGGAATGTAACTTTAGTCAGTCTTTGTGCAGCAGCTTCCACTATAGAGTCGCTAATTTCGCTCCTTGGAATCTCCAAAGTCTTGAGAGATTGCGCACTTGCAAAACAAAACAAGGTTGGATAAGTAAGGTTTAATAAAATATTATGGATACGGTCATCAGTAAACAAAGTACTAGGGTTATATATATGGTTATGACAAAAACAAAATCACTGGAACATTGTCGGTTGAGGAAATAGTTGGTAATACCATTTTGAACATGTTCTTCTACACAGATGTGCGGGGTCTGGTACCATGTTCGCAACATTTCTCACTATCAGGAAACGGATTAAGCCAGAGGAGCATGATTGTGCTAGTAACTTTAATAGACCATCTATAACTTTGTATTTATAGATTAACACACTGTAATGATACTACCCCATTTTTATTTATGCAATTGAATGAATAATTTACAAGCATTAACAAAAATAATTGCCACAATATATGCACAATTGTTTATAAATGATTGGATTCAGTGATAATAGAGGATTCAGTGTAAAGACAAATACAACCGCAAGGCAAGTAATTCTGGAATCAATTATGTTACACATAACGTACTTGTTTTTGTTCATCAGCACATGTCTTTCTAATCAATAGACGTATTAACATTCGTGTCCAGTGTTTCTCACATATTTGGATCCTGGAGTGTCAGATCGTGTTCCCTAGCCCATCTCCGCCGTCCAATATCTTACTTTTGGCGCTAAAACCCTACTCCCCCTTGCGCCGTTTCATCTACCGTGGCCGCCACCTTCTTTGTTCTCGCCCCTCCTCGCCGTCGCCCTCACCCCCCTCATCCCTAACCGCCTCAGTGATCCAGCTCCTATATAATGAAATTACACATCCATCATATTTCCCCTGCCACAGCCACTACACCTGTGGCAATCTAAACCATTTTTTTTCCAATGAAAGTCTGTATGCATTTTGCGAGGATGGTACACAATCGGAAGAACTACTCCAGCAACGTGCACAACTAATGGTTCACCACTAACAATAATAATAATAAAAACACACAATGTTCCCATCTAGGTTATCAAATTCAAATCTCATGAGGAAAGGATCATCAAAATAAAAAAGATTTTGACTAAAGAAGACTACTTACTGGTCCGCGATGAAGGCGAACAATGAGTCGTTGGGAAGCCTGGACACACTAAGGCGGTGGCACGAGCCAGCGCTGCGAGAGAGGAGCATATGAACCATCCTGATGATCTTGTCAGGCTCTTTCTGCTGGCTCCACTCCTGAATGTCGATGTCCTGCCAGCAGTCGGCCCCTGAAACCACCCGGCTCCAGGGTTTGCAAACACCCGGAACTACAGAGAGGATCTCCTGAAGGGACAGTTTGCAAAAGATGATGCCTAGGGCATCTCATGCTTGGTCCTCCCAACATCTGTCCTCACTGCACTCTTCCATCCCTGATCCTTCCGATCCAGGACCGACCATGCAAGTTGTATGTCCACCTGTTTCAGGAACCATGATAAATTACCCTGGGTGGTAAAATTATTTGCTTAATCCACACAGTTGAAGGCTTGAAATAGCATATTCAAAATTTCATGGCGACTTATATTAATAGTATGAAAGTGCTTTCCTACACTGAAAAAAATCCAGTTAATCAACATTTATTTCGAGATAATAAATTGCCAATATATATGGCAAGATCACCATAAAGGAGTATCTGTATCAAAGGTATGGAAATATAAACCCAGCGACCACGATAAAATTTGAAGGAAAGAAATTACACCGAGATGAACACATGTGCAAGATTTCCCTGACCTGACAAGAAAGAACTTGCAGTTCAAACGAAACTAGAGGAAGAAATGAGATCTGAGCGAGATTGCTCGGAGAAGAGGTGGGAACATGAACTGAGATATGGCGGACTGCCTAGATCACCGAACCCAGATATTAAAAATAGCACGATCTTGGATCAAAGCAAGCTGGTTACGGGGAGTGAAAACCCAAATCAGGAAGCCTACTCAAGAACCAAACGAGAGCACCAAGATGCGAGGACCAACCAAAAGCCATCAGGGCCGAACCAGCGAGTACGAGGAAGGAGGACGCCGCAGATCTGAAACAGCCCCTCCGCCAGAGACAAAAAATTCGAGACAACCCGTCCTGGCGGGACAGTATCGTTAACGAGGAGAGGACTGCGCGGACGTGGTGTTCTTCACGACGGCGAGATGCTTCGGAGGGTGAGCTTACCAGGTCACGGAGGAGGAGGAGAGGTGGTGGTGGTGGCGAATCTGTGGGAGCGTGGGGCGTCTCGGCGATGGGGCGAGGAGGAGGAGCGAGACTGCGAGAGGGATACAGTTGAGTGTAACGGCGAGAGGACCTTTCTCCTTTTGTTGCTCGCGCGTGCCTTTTTTTCTGGTTTGCAGGGGGATTCCGGGGTGCGCCGCCAGGATTCAGGCCGAGTGAGCGCCACATCGGAGTAATTAATTCCTAAGTTGAAAAGCCTGAAACGTGGTGCGATCATAATAATTCCTTGACATAAAAACGTGATGGTAAGCTTGAACGAAGAAACTACAGATGGAGTAGGCCATGTTTTTTTTCAGAAAGCTGTTGATGTTGATACAAGATTTACATACATATGATGCTACAGTGTGTGTGCTAGCTAGATTTGGTAAACAGATTTCATCGTATATGGCAGATATCGCTTACTCTCTTTTTTTTTGCGAAAAGATATGGCTTACATTAATGTACTCAATGTAAATTTTATGTTCTATGTTTTTGCAAAAAAAAAAGAGTTTATGTACTATGGCTTTAGTGATCATGTAAACGACATTTGGGATATTTTTCCCCATATTTCAACTATTGCTTCTCTAACTTCACCGTTTCCCCTTTCGCGCGCTTTTTTGCTTTGAAAACACTCGAGCCATTCACTCGTGCGGCGGCCGAATAATCCAACGGCCTCTGACTTCGCCCATCATCATTCAAATGTCGTCTCTGCTCTACATGACTTGCACCCAATGGATGATGCGCGTCCTCACCCACCCACCTCCCGGGCAAACAGCAGTGAGAATAACCACAAAGTGGTTATGTCCAATTTGAGGAAATTAGGTTCCTACCAAATCATGAATTAGCTCTTAGCCTTGTTATTATCGGAAACAACGAAGAAAAGTCAACGCTGCCACCGGAAGGGACCAAAGGGCAAGATATTTTTCCATGCCTACTATTGTTCTCGCAGATTAAGCTAATATATAATAAGTTTGATTTAGCTAAATGGGACTGAATTCTTCCCACATGAAAAAAATTAGGAATATTAATTTCTTACCGACACCCTACGACAGCCCTTTCTCGTGGTTTTTGGATTTGAAAAGTTTGGGACCCTTCACTCAACTCACGGGCCACAATCCAAATGGGCTCGAATTTGGTCCATCATCTTTCAAACATCGCACCAACTCTAAATGTCGTGTCTGCTCTACATGACTTGCACCCAATAAATGGTGCATATCCTCACCCACCCACCTCCGGGGCAAGCAGCAGTGGGAATAACTGTAAAGTGGGTATGTCCAATTTGAGAAAATTAGGTTCCTACCAACTCATAAATTAGCTCTTAGGCATGTTATTATCAGAAACAACGAAGAAAAGTCAAGGCTGCCACCTCAAGGGAAAAAAAGACAAGATATTTTCCATGCCTACTATGGTTCTCGCAGATTAACCTAATATAAAATAAGTTTGATTGAGCTAAATGGGATTGAATTCTTCCCACATGAAAAATATTAGAAACTTTAACTTCTTACCGACGCCCTACAACCGCCCCTCTTCCCATGGTTTTCCGATTTGAAAAGATTGGCACCCTTCACTCAACTCACGGGCCACAATCCAAATAGACTAGAATTTGGTCTGTCATCTCTCAAGCATCGCACCTACTCCAAATGTTACCATCAATTGGTCGTGCCTTCCGCTCGAAAGATGGCCATAACCCCCCCCCCACCCCCTCCCACTTGGCGCACAAATGCCATGAATAATAATGGCAAAGTGGTGATCTCCATCCTAGACCTAATATCCAATTATGGCGTGCTGTCATCCAACCCCTTGAACAAACAAGAGAAATGTAGTCTAAAAGAAAAAACGAAGTAGAACTCAATGGTGACACTGATGGAGACAAAAACAGAAAATCTTTCCTGCCTATGCTTCTTGCAAATTACGACAAAATAAATAAATATGTTTAAGACACAGTGAAGGAATTTTGGGATCATTTTTTCTTCCAAAGTACAACCGTTACCTCCTAAACTTCTATCATTTGGGAAAGAACAACGATGCCCAGCCGAACCCTCCAAAGCAGAAATAAGATTGACCTTTTCTTTCGAGAAGGTTTAACATATAGTATGGATCGTCATTGAAACATTGTGTCCGCTCTGGTTGCTTCCCTCAAGCAATAACACCTAATACTTAAAAATGGCACAAATTCTTTCCCCCACAAATCTGAGGGCAAATAACTACACAATGGTTATTTCCATATTGTACCAAATTAAGGGTTGTTATTGAAGGGGGTGAAAACAAAAGATATTTCATGTTTTTTTTGGCTTCTTATATATTACATAACATTAAATAACAGTGAGTGAGCTAAATGGGATTTATTTTTTCAGACATGAGAAAAATTGGAAATTATAATTTCTTACTATTCTCTCTCATAGGCAACACCTCCCTATCATGGACTTTTAATCTCTATGACATATGTATCCACAACCCAAGCCCTAACCAACGAACATGCACCAACCCTTCTATGAAAAAGAAATTTTTATTGACTTGCTAGTCATGAAATCCAAGTCTATCTCCTAGAATAGCAGCTTCTAGCATAGGTTTTACAAAATAAAAACACTAGAGCTTCACCAACCAAAGCATTGAAGTGGAATTCATATCACGAAAAGCCAAAAAAAGCCGTCACATCTAGTCTGAACCAAGCATATGTTGTAATAGAACCTAAGTCAACAATGCGCACTCCAAAAGTTTTCATACATATTTCCATCGAGAATTGCCCTGCCAAAACCATTGCAAAAGTCCTAACACATTAATTACAATCTATCACACCACTACATGTCGATGGAGTCCGAACTAGTTCTTCTTTGGTGTACTTGATATGTTAAACCACCACTAGTAAATCAAGGCATCAACCACTATAATAAAACTTGACTTAAAAATAGATCCTCTAGATCCAAATGCCTAGATGCCCTTCTCCACAACCCACACCATGATGTCTTTGAAGATGGCATGTGTGCATCGATTAGATATATCCTAACAATGTGCGGACTGACCGTCCTTCTGAATGTCTGGCAGGACCCTGGATCCCTAGTATAAACGGGTTGCAATAAGGCGACCCTCTTTCTCCTTGTTAATCATTGTAACTGATGTACTACATCAACTTACTCATCATGCATTCTCTATCGAACTCCTCACACAACCCATCAACCATCTTGTACCTTTTTTTACAGTAATGATACCCTAATCCTTAGAAGTGCAAACGTCTCATAAGATGCAACATTGTGTTCCCATATCCGGAAGATTTCAGAGACGCAAGTGGTTTAGTGATTAACTTCTGAAAAACTACATTGATTTCATTTAAAGGTCGATTATTTCCACTCGTCCCGAATGACCGGCCTATTAGTTCTCTTGTCATGCATCCTCCTCCCCTGGTCTTAATATGTTCATAAGAATCTTACATTAATAGAATTCATTTCAAATATTTCTGCAAGTATTTCGTTTAAGTGGCCGTTCACTCTACCTGGTCATTCTAGCTCCTGCTTGCCTGCTCCTGCACCATTATCACATTTCTCATGTGACTTGTTGCTTGATTTCATGATCACTCACCCACTCATAACCATGGATCTAACTCGTTGGCTTTCTTCCTCAATGGGACAATGTCACAATCACCATATCTACATTTTCCATGTGTTGCAGCTTTTCACACTGTGTTAACAATCCTTCAGCATCCTAACACCTAGACCTCGGGCACAGGTGGGCAACGCGTCCTAACTTCATCGAATCCCTTACCAATAGGTTGCGGGCATAACAAAGAAAACTAAAGTACATGACTTGGTAGAAAATTTGTTTTGCTTTCAGTGGTAAATTTGTTGCCAGCGAAAAATTGGAAGAAAGAAGATGACATAAATATTTGTAAATTATATTGGATACTTTACTTTCTAGAAGAAAACATTGGATGTGTTCATTTTTTGTTGAGACGGTGATATTTCACTCTAGATCGATCTTTACTGTTGGGGTTGCTGGCCATCTGTCACTTCAGACAAATAATGAAAGAAACTATAAGTAAGGAAATAGAAAATTTAACCAATTATATTTCTTATATAACAGTCACATCATAAAAATAAGGAAATAAATAGTACGAAATTAATGTATGAGGATAAAGAAGGAAATAAGAATGACAATCAATACTAGTATTTATTATATAATAGGCACCTGATACAAATAAGGAAGGCATTAATATGTAATTAATGAATCATGATAAATATGAAAATAAAAGGGTAATTTTTGACATTTATTATATATTATTGTTCTCCTTCCAATCAAATTCTCCATCAACTCTTGTGGATGAACTCCAAAAGTACGGCAGCGCGGTCCCTCCTAGTACCGTCTTGGCTTCTCGTGATGGACAACACTGCATAATCGAGGTTATCGCCTAGAGGTCGGAGTGACTATAACTACTAAAATAACTAGATGACCCATTGTTCCATTGGTGTAGAGACCAACTGCATCCCAAAAGTTAAGTAAACTATTGGAGACATAAAATAGAAGTTAAGTGAACTATTTGAAAAGTCCAACTACAACAATGGGCGTAAAGAGATACTGTAGCCAAGAAAAGAAGCAACTAATACAACAAAAAAAAGAGGTCAATTATTTGATGGATGTTTAGCATGAATGGACTCTAGTGATTATGTTTGAACTGCATTTGTACCTACCTTGTATATTTACTAACGACAAACAACGATAATTGTGGTACCTATCCTACATTAGCCCGCCACGGCAACCCTACAAATGGGTCAATACAAATGCCGACCACACCTCCCTACGGTACCTGACCTGAACTTTTGGATTTGAGGACTCGTACTAGCAACAACTAGGGAGACTCAAGACAATCCGGGCATACGACAGACCCCAAATATGCGGTAGCCTTCCGAAAGCACGACATCCGGCCAAGGGGACACGATGGCAGGAAGCCATGGCAAAACCCGATAGCCACCTGACATGAAGAAAACATCTCGCCAAGATGTCACCCACGCACAAGACACGACGTTCACGACATGTGCCAAAGTATTTTGGGATGTGATCACGGTCTTTGAGTGCCGCGGTCTGGCCGGATGGGGTGTTCTGGGATGCCTTCCCCGATTTCAAAACTAACTTTGTGAAGTCATCAGCATTGATGAGACAGAGATGAAACCTGTTGTCTCCATTAGTTAATTGTTTTACAA